ACAAGAAACTACAAATCCCAGAACTCCACAAGGCAGGGCCATGATGACCCATAAAGAGGTATCAAACCTTGTGGCACAGCTGAGAAAATTATTTTCAGCTCTTGTCCTGCAGACCCATCCTGGACTCCACCCCAGCCAAAGCCGATGTGCTTCTCCTTATGGGATTTCCCTTCCCTACGTGACCCCAAAATCTGTAGAGGGGACCTCTCAACTTACATTGAAAGCTGCGGTCCAGGAATTCCTGGATGCTGGCAGCATCTTCGCTCGCCATAGCACCAGCGGGCAGTCCGGACTCCAACGCCTTCAGCCACCGATGTTCCACGTCTCGTGGTGACCTAGGAAGACGAAGCACCTCCATGATCAATAATCCAAAGGCAGAGAAAGATTCCTAGCTGGGCATCTGACCCAAATGCCCCACCAACTCCTGGACAACATAGACTTCTCCTGCAGACCCAACTGTTCTCCTGACAGCAATAACACTCTGGTCTTCTCCGGAGGAGTGTTTTGCAGCTACTGAGATGCCAACCTCACCTGTTGCCTGCATAGTTACCTGTACAGGTCTACCTGCAGGGAGGGGCTGGAAAACAGGTACAACATCTGAGTCAGATGAGTCTCCAGGATCTTTGGAGGTGAGAGAGGGAGGTGGCACCTGGAAAGGCCATGCGATTTCGGAGGCTCAGGTTGGTTGGCATGTCTCCTTCCTGAGTTTGGTGCCAGGCTGGGTGGCAGAGCAAATAGCCAACCAGCTTCCATTTTTGAGACCAAAAAGGGTTCAAGTATGGTGACCTCATGAATTTCACAGGGCTTTTGTAGGCAAGCAATACTCAGAGGTGGTTTTGTCAGTTCCTTCCTCTACAGCATCTGGAATTCATTGGTGGTCTCCCATCCAAGAACTAACCAGAGCTGACCCTGGTTAGCTTCAAGATGAAAATGGATCTGGTACCTTTACGGTTTGCTTTTTAAGCCATTATGTGTGTATATGCACCTTCAAGTATGTCAGTCCTATGAATTTCACTGGGTTTTTGTAGGAGAGGAATCCTCAGAGGTGGTTTGGCCAATTCCTTCCTCTGAAATACAACCGACAGCACCCAGTATTGGTTGGTGCTCCACCCAAATTCAGTATTGGATCCAAAATTTGGTAGGGAAAGCCAGACCAGAACAAATGTTCCCCTGAACTTTCCTTGTTTCATCCATCAAAAGTAAACCTATAAAGTAAATATAAGAGAGTCCAAAGCATGGTCAACCATCAAGTACTATTCAATAATCCATAAATGTCTTTAAAAACTGAAAAAGAGTCACACCAGGTTGCATCTCTAAAAAGAGAAGATGTCTCATTTGGGACATTCAAAAAGGGTCCCTTTGTGGAAATGCTATAATTGAAATTACTTGAAGAAGGTAAGAGATATATTGATGGATTTATACCCGAAATGTTTCAGCCTTATTATTATATTTAAGGCTATTTTAATCCCTGTCTTTCAAATGCACATTGACTAGGGGACATGTTCTCCTGCCAGGCTCCCTTTCAGGAGCTGCCTCCGCAATGCAGAAATAATCCGGTTTGACACCACTTTAACTGCCATGACTCAATGCTACTGAATTCTAGGTACTGTAGTTTTTTGTGGCACCAGAGCTCTTGCAAACATTATTATTTCTATAATAATAATAAAGATTATTTCTCCAGTATGAATGCAGCCAGGGTGTATCGCTGGCCTTTTTTCGGAAAGACTAGAGAGTCCTGCTTTGGTCTGATCCCACTTCAGGGCTCTTCAGATGGTTTCTTGTGGTTCATTTTGTCCTCAGAGACAACAAAACCAGGCGCTTGAGGCACAAGACAGAACATGATTTCTCCACCGCCAACATTTTAGATGTCATCTCTAATGTGGATAGATCCGTCGGCTCCACCCTGCCTCCCAAGAGGAGAATCCAAACCTTTGTCCTCTACATCCATGCCACAAAGAAGAAATAGGCCAAGACAATTAGTCAGGGACGACTACCGATTCGGGGCCAAATCCAGTTATATAATGAATGCCCAGAGACTGGAACCAATTGGCAGCGCCATCCAAAAGCCTTTCCCAGGCCTCCAAAAGAGACATCCTGCTCTGGTTGTTTTGCCTCTAGTCTAGCAGATAAGACAACCCTCCACCGGCATCTATTTTTTTCCCTTTTGTACGCACATTTTATTCAACCTCCCCGGAAATTACAGGACGATTTGAATTTAAAAAGAGTGAGGAAATAAACTTTGCAGGGGTTGTGGATGTTTGGAAGGGCTGTACTTACTGCTGGGAGGAGGACATTCTGCATATGCTCAGGGGCATTCCTCTCTCATGACTCTCTCATGTTTGTTTTCCCAAGGCTCTGGGGGTAAGAAAGCTTGTAGGGCTAAGGTGGACTCTGCTACTCCCTTTAAGCCCCATGGATAAAGACAAAGGCTCCGCTGTTTGTACTCTGTCCCTTTTGGCCTCACTTTGCTCCCCTCCCTATACTTTACTTTTTAATCAACCGTTAGAAGAGGGAGAAAAGAAATGCATGGTTCATTTGGCTTTTCATAGGAGATTGCCATGCAAGCCAGCACATGATGATGATACACACGGATGCACCAGTCTACATCATCCAATCTTTGGTACAGTTGAGAAAAAGAAATGTGTTGCTTCACCCACAAAGACCCCGGAGAGGGTCCTTTATCCTCAGGAAGAACACAGAAATCTGCCCAATGAAGCACTGGACCACTGTCAACAACAACAACAACAACAACAATAATAATAATAGCCAGAATCCTGCATCAGATATTTAATAAGTATATAGCCAGGGATAGCAATGTTGGCCATGTAGCAAAGTACAATAACAGCCCAAATCCTCAAAACAGTGATACCTTTATTGGGATGCACAAGATGCATGATGCAAGCTTTCAAAGCTCCACTGGCTTCTTCTTCAGGCAAAGTAACTTCTCTTGGCCATACTCATCCCCAACCTTGATGGAAATGTCATTCCCCCATGCTTTGATGATGGGCAGAATGGATCCCCTTCTCCCCATACAGCAAATGCCTGGGAAAGTTGGTTGCTACAAGATTCTGGCTATTATTGATTGATTGATTGATTATTAGATGGGACAGTGGTCCAACTCTACATCAGGCTGCTGTCATGGTTCCATTCTATGGAATCCTGGGATTTGTAATTTGTTGTGACACCAGAGCTCTGTGACAGAGAACACTAAATATCTGACAAAGCTACAAATCCCAAGATTTCATAGGATAGAGCAGGGGTAGGCAATCTTTTTGAGCTGGGGGCTGGGTTGCTGTCATTCAGACAATTCGGGGGCCGAAGCACCAAAAACAAACAAACAAACAAACAAACAA